AAATATTAGTAAATTGAATCTATCACTATAAACAAAAGGATAATACATCATGATTCAAGTGGAGTTTATCCCAAGAATGCAAGGTTAATTTTAACTTTTAAAATTCAGATATTATAATTCTTTATATTAATGAACTAAAAAAAGAACAGCCACATGCTTATCTCAATAAATGTAGAAAAAATATTTCATAATGTCCAACATCAATTCCTGATAAAAACTTATCAAATTAGAAATAGATGGGAAATTTTTCATCCTGATAAAGCACATTCATACAAACTTACAGCTAACATACTTAATGGTGAAAAAACAACGCTTTACACCCAGTGTCAGAAACAAGGAAGGCAGGCTTCACTCACCACTTTCTCAGCACTGTACTGAAGTTTCTACCTAGTGCCCCAAGGCAACAAGAAGAAACCAAAAGTGTACAGATTGGAAAGGAAGAAGTAAAACTGTCTTGGCCTACAACACATTGCTTCACAGAAAATCCAGTGGAATCAACAACAAAAAAGCTTTTCGAACTATTAAATGAGTTTAGCCAGGTTGCAGAATCCAAGACTAATAAACAAAAATCAACTGTATTTTTATGTACTAGCAACAAATAATTGTTGTAACAAATAATCGGAAATTTAAAATCTGAAATACCATTTACAATAGCATCTGACAAAGAAAAAAAAACATGCAAGGTCTGTAGACTGAAAACTACAAAACAATGATGAGAGAAATTAAAGAAGAGCTATATAAATGGAGAGATACACTGTTCATGCAGATTCAATGCAATCCAAGTCAAAATTCCAACAGGGTTTCTTTTATTTTTGTTGGTTTGTTAGAAATGGACAAGTTGATATTAAATTTACATGGAAATAAAAAAGTCTGGTGTAGCCACTGTGGAAAACAGTATGGAGATTCCTCAAAAGACTAGGAATAGATTTACCATATGACCCAGGAATCCCGCTCCTGGGCATATATCCAGAGGGAACCCTACTTCAGGATGACACCTGCACCCCAATGTTCATAGCAGCACTATTTACAATAGCGAAGACATGGAAACAGCCTAAATGCCCATCAACAGATGACTGGATAAAGAAGATGTGGCATATGTATACAATGGAATACTACTCAGCCATAAAAGCCGACAACATAATGCCATTTGCAGCAACACGGATGCTCCTGGAGAATGTCATTCTAAGTAAGCCAGAAAGAGAAAGAAAAATACCATGTGAGATCGCTCATATGCGGAATCTGAAAAAAAAAAAAAGCATAAACACAAAACAGAAATAGACTCACAGACATAGAATACAAACTTGTGGTTGCCAAGGGGGCAGGGGTGGGAAGAGATAGACTGGGATTTCAAAATTGTAGAATA